ACACAACCACAACAAACCCCATGTGGTAAGTTGTAACTTTAAAGGAACAATATTAAAACTATTTGAGATATCAGCTCTTGTTTTTCAACTTTTTAAATAAGCAACATGGTTTCTGGTTATTCTAACTACCTGGAAAACTCAATTCATTGTAGGAAAGTTGTACTACTTCCAGCTAAAACTAAGTGTTATGACTGCAGCACATGCTGCTTTATTTATTATTTTATTTATTTATAACATTTTTATGCTGCCCCCATTGCAGAAAGCCTCGGGGTGGCTTACAAAGCAGGATAAAACAAACATAGAATAAACATTAAAAATTCGGAGCATCTCGGCTGTATCATAAAACCAATAAATAAAAACAACAGTTAACAATTAAAATATTGTTTAAATAAAAAGGTCTGTTCCTGTTACCTGCTTCTGTTACCTTTCCTATTTCAGCTGACTATAAGCAACAATGTGACACATTCGTAGTAATATCCAGTAGTCGCATATCCTACTAGATCCCCTAGTAACATAACCAATGACTGCATCATGGTGATATTGTGAAATGACTGTTATTGAATGTTAGTGAAACGATCCATAAGATTTATGCTATGGGATTCTGTGGGGCTCTACTTTATATTTCAACACCTACATGAAACAAGGAGAAAAGTTACCTAAAGATGTATGGGCTTAAGTGCCACATGTATGTTCTACCTCTCCTTTTCCTCTAATATAGATTAGGTAGTTGATGTTTTGACAAGAGCTTGGGCAGAGTAATGGACTGGATGGGGGCCAATAAACTGAGGCTCAACCCAGACAAGATGGAGAGACTTGTTATGGATGGTTCCTCTGTCTGGCTAGGTGATGTTCAACCTGTTCTGGAGAGCACTTCACTCCACTAAAGGAGCATATTCACAGTTCTGGAGTGCTCTTACATTCATCATTGTCACTAGAGGCTGGTGTCTCAAAGAACCTTTTATCAGATTAAACTGATATACATATGACAATCCAACTTGGTTAGAAATAGCCAATTCATGTTGTTAACCTTCTGTTCAGATTATTTCAGTATATTGCATATGGGGCTATTTTTGAAAATTGTCCAAATAGCCCAGTTAGTCCAAAGTAGAGCTCTCGGACTATAACTAAGCCTGACTGATTTGGCCATATTGTGTCAGTACCTTGTTATTTGCTCTAGTTGCCACTTTGTTTTTAAGCCCAATTCAAAGAAGAATTATCCAGTGGCAGCATCCTGTATGTACCAGGTCCTCCTCAAAGAGGCTTGCTTGGTGCCTTGTGCTCTTTTCAATCTAGGAGACGTCCTTTTTATTCTCTCATGCATTTTAAGAACCTTTCACTGCAGTTTTATTTCCCTACTCGATTTACTTTGGTATTATGTGTCATATTTTTACTTTATACTGCTGGCTTTATCTTGGTTTTATTATATGTTGTTTTATTCCTTGTTTTGCCCTTTGTATTTCATGCTTTTAATGTACTGTACACTACCCAGTGGCCTAATGGATAAGGCATCAGCCTCCGGAGTTGGGGATTGTGGGTTTGAGTCCCATCTGGGTCATTCCTTGTTCTTATTTGGGATGTAGGTGGCGCAGTGGTTTAAACTGCTGAGGTGCTGGGCTGGTTGATCAAAAGGTCGACAGTTCAAATCCACACAATGGGGTGAGCTCCATCGCTTCGTCCCAGCTCCTGCCAACCTTGCAGTTTGAAAGCATACAAGTGCAAGTAGATAAAAAGGTACCACTTCGGTGGGAAGGTAACAGCATTCCATGCACCTCGGTGTTTAGTCATGCTGGCCACATGACCACGGAGACTGTACACGAACAAACGCTGGCTCCCTCGGCTAGGAAACGGAAATGAGCACACCCCGGTAGAGTAAGATGTGACTGGACTTTGATGTCATGGGGAAACCTTTATACTACCCAAAGAACTTGAATCATTAGGTAGCTTAAAAATGTAATAAATAACAAATATTGGAATGCTAGTTATCTCAAGCATTGGTTTAACTAGTTGGATGATGTAAAGAAACTGTCTGTGGTACGTAAGATACAAATTAAGCCAAATACATAGAAAGCACCACGCAAAACTGAAAATCCACAGCACAGATTGTTTTTCTGTGAGAATACTATGCTGTCTCCAGATCACAATTCTCTACTAAACTGTCCCTCAGACTGATACAACACTTTAGAAATTGTATTCCTTGAGAAAAGTATTCCCAAAGCACTCCAGTAGCACAAAATCCTGCAAGAGGTCCATAGCCTCAACCTCTTCAGAAACTGTAATTCGAAATAACAGATTTCTTTCAGGCAACCAATATAGCTTAAAAATGTCAAAGCACAGGAATGTCAGTTATGTGTTACTTTGTAAGTAACTTCACAGCACTATTTCATGTAAACGCTCTTTGGATAAATGCATGAAATGTAGTTTCCAACTGAGCTTTCATTTAAGGAATGACTTTTGTGTATTGAGAAAAAGAGACATTTCAGAAGCATGTTTTCATCTAAAGCACACATGCAAGTAAGTGCAGTAGCTACTTCAAACATGTGGAACCAAAGTGACTTATCTCTCTTATCCTTTCACTGATAAACTGGCTCCTTCAAACTGACAGTTTTACAGACATTCGCAAGGACATAAAAGAAAATGCAAATAGATCATCTGTCTAGCACCTTCCTAGTGAAAGCTTATTGTTTATTCAAGGTCCCCAAGGGTCTAAACAAATAATGTCTCTAGCAATAAACTGTCCTTAAAAGGAAGTGGTGCTCCCAAAAACACTTGCATGTCTTTGAATGTACATATGCAAAGAAAAGTGATACCTACTGTGCAATTTAATGACAAGCCACAGCTACTAGAAAGGTTTTATTCCTTCTTCCCTAATAGAATCTAGCAAGGTTCAAAAACATCAGATTTCTTTTTAAAAGAAATGTATAGTTAAGTACTGATCTCATTCAAGTACTGAAATGCTCCAGTGCCAGGTTTCTAAGGGCTCCTAAAAGTGAATGTTTAAACCAATAAATATAAATATCTGCACAAAACAAACATCTTTTGCATGCCACATGAAATCAGATTTTGGTAAACTGTACTGCATTCTCAAATTGGCTTTTATAACATACACACAGAAAGGTTCCATTATTTTTCTATAAAAACCTACAAAGCATGAAAGGCACCATTAAAAAAATCAGTGACTGCGCCACCATTTTTCTATCAACACTGTGACAAAATCATTACACTTCCACATAGCTCCACAGCAAAACTATGACTTTTGTCATAAATTATCATTCATTACACATTTGCCACACTAAGTCCAGGCATCTCATCTTGACCTTGCTATTGTGGGGATATTGTACTTTTCCAGCACTGGATACACAGTTGGTCCTGGGGAAGATGCTGCTGGGAATACCACTTGGATTGTGGATGCATAAATGATCAATGCACTAATGCTCTACTATCAGAGTTCCAATTAATAGGTTTTTAAACAAAACAGAAGGCAAACTTGTGGAAAACATTTCCTCTGGTTTTTCACAAGTTTGTCATCTTTAGTTAATCTTGCTTATTCCTCTCCAGAACTACAGCTCAAGTCTAGGCTCATGGAATGTGTATGCATGTATGAGTACCACAGCCAGTCCTTGCAGCAGGATTGTACTGTGGGTTGGAATCAAGATGAATACTTGAGTGATGACTTAAAAAGAATAAAATATAATAGGGGTGACAATGTAAGGGCCATTTGAATATATCCTAAGGAACTATGATTTAGTGGCAGAATATCACTGACGGTCCCAGGTTCAGGGTCTGGCAGCTCCAAGTTACAGTGGGCCAGCTCAGACAATACAATAGCCCACTGTGGGTTAATTAACCCTCAAGGAACCTGCATGCCTGCCATTAGCAGTGTGCAGCCCCTAGCCAGGAGTTGGCATGGCTTGAACAGATCATGTAAACCCAGCCAAGGTGTTTTTTGGAATTAAATAAAACTCAGAACAGATCGAGAACAGACCACAGGTTAGTTAATTCTCAAATAATCTTCTGCAGCCTGGTTCACACAACATGCCAAGATACAGCAACCCCTACTCAGAAGCTGCATATTCATAAGGACAGATGGAACCTCTACAATCCTTCAAGAATGAATTAACCTATGATGGGCTGTCATGTCATCTGAACCAGGTCACTCTCTTATTTGCCAATCAGCTCTAGAAAATTACCTCCAGGAGTTACTCCATGGATCCGCTTTTCTAATCTTACTACAAGATCACAGAAGATAAATGAACAAAAAGTAACAAGTGGCTAAATCCTTTACACACAACATGCACAGAAGTTGACGTTAAAATCCTTTCCTTTAGGTCAAAAAATGCCCTGCTTTCCACTGAAGAATCACATCCAATGTTAAAAATAGAAGAATAAATCAATTAACTTCCAGCCCAGGTTTTGCTCCAGTATCAATGAATTCAGTGAAGAAGAGACTAACAACAACTTAGCCTTCTGCATTCTCTCTTGCAATGTTTGAACTGGCTCCTTGTTTGTTCATTCTTCAGGATAAGGGGAATTTTTATACTCCCATGCAGAACACATTCACATGTTACTTGCATGAAGATGATCAGAGCAGGAGTGAAATTCAGCTTCCATTTTCATGTGGCTTACTTCATTGTCCAAAAGTGTAACCTATACAGGGGAGATCTGCAAGCTGATCCAGCACTCCAGAACTTTCCTATGTTCCTCACACAAGGGTCTTTCCAGATAAATAGCCTGTATTGTCTAGGCTTGTTTATAAGTATTGTAAACAAGAGCATTACTTCTTTTTTTGGCATAGTGACCAAACTTACAGGCAATCTGGATATTACAAAGAAATTGGGAGCAGAAACAAATATGACATACATCTTTCTGGCATTTCCTATCTAAAGCATGCTTTTTCAGTGGGATGTGATGAGTGCATGAGAAGCTGAGTCATAAATAAGAGCTATGTCATGCTTTTTTGCCATCTTAAGTTCAACAACTTGCCTCCATTTTCCTTCACTTACCAGGAGATCCTCCCTCGACATCTGGGGCTTGTGCAGAATCCAAAGAAACCACACTGACAGCATTTGTCGGGACATGAATTGTGGCTGTAGATGAAGCCACTGACTTCTTTGGAGCCACAACTACACTCCTATAAAGAAAAATAAACATTATTCAACACGGTTTAAACATTTAAGGGTGATAACATATATATTTTTAAAACTTGCTAAATGGTAAGATTTTTGCAGACCAGACAGGTTCGACAGTTTGATAGATAAGGATGACATACACCCTATGTATGCCAGCGTTTAGATATTTAAAATGTTACAAAGAAAAACTAAGCCAAAACAAAAACAAAAACACTGCTTTAGAATACACTAGTGATCACTGGAAATAGTGCAGTTTCAAATAAAGAGATTATTTTGCTCAAGGTATTGACTTAAATTGGAACTTACTTAGTAAGTTTAATACGAAGGTAAACTAGATAAGTCTAACTATGCTTTCTTAGAACCTTTAGTTCCTACTAACTCACTGCTGAAATGACATACAAAATAAATGATGAAACTTGTGGATTAATTAATATACATCACATTACACTCAGAACTGAATATAACCTATGTTTCAGGCATCAGAGAAAAGAATTTATCTTTTACGTTACTAACATATCATTATGACAAACCAGTTTCAATTAAATAGTAATGCTTTACTCCAAACACCTAAAAGGCCCAGTTAAGCATACACTAAAGACATTTTTTAATTGCAAGTTAGCTCCATAAACATGCAAAACCCCAGATAATGAGCTAAAGAGTACAGCTGATATATTGTGTGCTCCCAAAGCAGTGCTTCCTTTTAATTACCTGGTGTTAACTATAAGCCAAAAGTCTTCAACATTCAATCCATTTAATGACATCTTCTGTTGACAATACTGTAAGTATAGGTTGAACGTATTCCCTTAATAGCATTAAGCTGTTCAGTTTCTAAATAAAATGAGTTAAAATTGGCTCCAAATTCAAGTATGATTATATTAAAACTTTTCAACACTTTATAAATTAAATTAAAAAGGACATCCTTCTCCATTTATCCTCATTTTAAGACCTACTGATAATTCTAACATTAAACTATGGGCCGTATTCAGCAATGTCGTTATAGCGAAGCAAATTATGTCGTGTAAGAGTAATGGACCTCTAGCTTCTGCAACAGATTTTCCAGGGAATCTCCGTGCACAAGATAATACTATGGGTGTTATACTAGCAGCCCCTTAAGGTAGTCCAACAAAATATGAATTAGCAGTATCATGTAATAAGAAACCATCCATATTCTAGATGAACCAACCATTCTGAACATGATTATCTTATTTGCAAGATCACTTACTAATTCAAGCCTCCTGTTGCATCTTTTTGTATCATCTTAACATAGTGAGGGAGACCTTCTGGGTTGGTTAACAAACTACTCCAGAATCCTACACCAGGCCCTGAATTTTGGGCGGTTTTTGTTAATCGCCCTAACAAGCTACTCTCATCAGGTTTTGACAAAACAAGAAGCTTCACTAGGGAAGGGTATCAATAAAAATCAGGATGGCATGCAACCATCACACACATGGTGTTAAGAAAACCAGCATTAAATTTCTATACCAAAGCTATACTGTATGCTATACTATACTGTATACTCCATACTGTGGCTGAAGCTCTCTGTGTGGTTTACATTTAAATTACCTATCCACATTTCAACCAGGCCTGACCCTGCTTAGCTTCAAGGTTAGACAGGATCAGGGACTTCAGGCTATATGGATGCTGTATAATGGCTTATTAACATGGTTTATTGTAATATTACATTTACCAACCCTATGGATGGATATTCACCACAGATGAGACAGCTTGCACCATATTATTAAACTAAACTTTTACATTGCTTGTATATCCTACCTTCTATCATCTTACAAGGAGCTATTAGGTGGCTTACATTCTTCTCTACTGCTCCTCTTACAACAACAACCCTATGAATTGGGTTTGGCTGAGAGTGAGTGAATGACTAGCCTAAAGTCATCCACTCAGCTTCATCCCCAAATGAAAACTAGAATGTAGATGTCCTAAGTCCAGTACGCTAACCACCACACCACTCTGGCTCTCATAAGGATGGTTATTATGTTCATTATAAACTAAAATATGGAAGCAACAGCCACGTGCCCCAAGCCAAGACACTTATATCAGTGTACTTAGGAACACAAAAGTAGCCCCAATGGAGAGGACCAAAGGCCTATTCAATTCAGCATACTTTTCACTTCCACTGGTGCCCAAATAGAGGTTTCCCACATGGTGGCGTGCAGGCACCCTATTTTTTATTTCTCTATTTTTATATACGTAGATGGATGTGTGTGAAATTTATGGAACTTTCTGGCAATTATCTACTGGTCAACAAAAGCAGACCAAAAGTCCAAATAAATGTACATCTGAACATGGGGTCAACATTCCAGTGGTTAGAGAGCCAGTGTAATACAGTAGTTAGAGTGCTGAAATAACCTCCACTCATCCATGAAGCTCACAGCCACTCATACTCTGCCTAACAGTGCTGGGCTGCTCTGTTTGAAGGTAAAGAATCTCTCAGAGAATACTGTAATTTGTGCAGCTTCTAAGATTTCAGGAAAACTGAAATTATAACACTCTACTTACTCAAACATTCCAAGTTTTTGCTGAACATCTTTTATGGTCAGACACTGAAACATGTTAACATATATTTGAAATCTGTTAAGCTATTAACAAGCCACATTCAGTAAGTTAGGGGGAATGGGAGTTTTATGTGACTCCACTGTAACAGAGTCCCCATATTCTCAAGAAAGGCATCACCTCTTTACTCAGCTCCTGCTTACCTAGACTTCCAAAAAAAAAAAAAAGCCTTTGAAGAAGTACCTCAGCAAGAACTCTTATCAGTTATGAGATAAGATTAGTTCTCTTTGACATCAGAGCCTGTGGTCTACAATGTCTCACAGGGATCTATCTTGTTCCCTGGATGTTTAATATTTTCATGAAACCAATGGGAGGTTCTTTGGGAGTGTGGGCATGAGATGGCACCAATCTGCTGATAAGACTCCACTATATTACTCCTTTCATCTATTGCCAAGGAAGCAGTCAGTACCCAAGGAGCATTGCCTCAATTTGATACTGGACTAGATGTAGAGATTTCAATTTGATACTGGACTAGATGTAGAGATTAAATCTAGAGAAGACAGAGGCATTTTGGTCTCTATAAAGTCTGTCTTGGATACTGATATGCAGCCTATTCTGGAAGTGGTGGCACTCTCCCTGAAAGATGAGTTTTGTAGCTTCATAGTGCTCTTTGACCCTGTGATGTTACAGTTGTAGAAGTGATAAGTTAAATTCAGTGCTCTAGGTCCAGCCTTTCTTAAGTCAGTCAGTCAGCAACAATTATCTATCCCATAACTACTACTGTAAGGCACTCTACATGCAGCTCTCTTTGAAGAACATCTAGAAGTTTCAACTGGTGTAAAATACAACAAATAGGGCATGCTTGTGGGAGCACACTATTCCTATTTATTTCTGTGTGGACCCCATAACCCGAGGGTTCTCTGGGCAGCTTACAAATGCTGAAACCAGCACTTAAACACGATCAATAAAACAGATAAAAACAATAAAAATAGTAAAATGTTAAAACATCTAATATAATAAAAATTAAATAAAACATTATTTATTTATTTATTTTTATTTACAAGATTTCTATGCTGCCCCCATCACAACAAAGCCTCGGGGCGGCTCACAAAAAATACATAAAAAACATACATAAATAATAATAATATAACAATTAAAAAAAACATTTAAAAACCCCTGGTGCATTCTCGGCTAAAATTTTTAAAATCCTAATTAACTCAATAATTTAACAATTAAAATAAGTTTTAAAGGTCTTAGTCTGGCGCCAAAAAACAAATAACAACGGCGCCATACGCAGATATTGTACATGTAAAGCTGTACAATATTTGCACTGGTTGCCAATTTTTTCCTGGCTCGGTATGAGACTTTGATTTTATACTTTGAACACTAAAGTGGCTTAAGATTTGGTTATTTTGGGGACTATTTGTCTCATTATGAACCCAGTCAGATATTACGATTGCAGGAGAAGCCCTTCCAAAGATACAGCCACTCACAAAACCTGTTTGAAGGGCACATGAGATGGTACTCTCCTGCATCACTCCTAGATTGTGGAATTCTCTTCCCTCGAACCTATGAGTCTTCTCCATTGCCTTTGCTTCTTGACTTAGCCTTTTAAATTGTTTTTAGTTCATCCTCTGTTTTAAGTATGCTTTTCCTGTTGGCTTTAATACGTATGTTATTTTTTATTTCATACCGACTAGGCAATCTTTTCAAAAAGGGAACAAATAATGTAATCCTTACCTTAAAAATTTCGGGTTTTATGGTTTAAATACATGAAAATTAAAAATAACATTAACAATAGTAGCTTTCATTGCCAGGTTAATATTGTAAATTCTTCTAATCTTCCATTTTTAAAAGGACTGAAAATATCAACATGATTGTTCATTACTCTTTGTAATAGTCACAGTAAGTTATTGGTTCTATTAATTTAATTTAACAGAATCGCTTTATTCATCAGGACAGTTAAGCTAACTGGCAGCATTTTTGCACTAACAAAAAAGTATTTTGTTCCTGAAAGGTTAGAAAGGACAAACGCTGCAAATAGACTGCTAATTCAGTGTCTCTACTGGCTTAATGAAAGAGCCAGACCAGGCCTTGAACTTTTATCAAGATAAATCCCTGGCACCCACTAATCACCAGATTGGATCTTCACATAAGATAAAAGAGTAATTTTGGCATGGGAATGAACACACACACCTTATGGTTTGCAAAACCCACAAGCTGGCAGACTTTCAGCAAGGTTTCACTCACATAGCTGTTACTGTATACTCTCCAGCTATGGCTGGAAAGTTGATAATCCTTAAGATATGAGGAGCGTTTTGATTTCTGACACAGCATTCCTGAGATAAATGCAGGATCAGAGAGATGCTTTGAAATTCCCATAGATACTTGCTGTAAAACTACTACATGGGAAAAACTTTTAACAAGGTGTCTTCCCCCCCACTCTGCTCCCCAGCCCAAAAAATGAAAAACATTAACTCACTGGGCTTTGTGTTTTGCACCAGACAATACATTAAATATAAACCAGACACACTAAGTTCCAGAGAGCATCCTGAAGTCTGCTTGTCCAAAGTTTCCCACTGTAATGTTAGTATCTTGGTGTGTCCCTGGAGATAAAAACCTCTTTTTGAATGTAGCTCCAGTTTCCTGAATAAGAGGTCATAACCTATTCCACCCACCCTCACCCTCAGAACTACAGCAGACTTTTAGATGTCACCTGAAAGAAAACATGCTCTTTTCACAAAATTACAATATGAAGGTTGGATCACTTTAAAAAATAGACTGGGTCATTCTTAGCTTTTCACATTTTCAAGCATAAGAATTCACACATAGATGTAGCTCATGTTTGACTGCATTCACCATCCTGCTTAATATTTGGACATTTAATTCCTAAGCAAACAAATGTCAGATATGTATCACATGGACAAGTGCAAGTCTAACCACAATATTAAAATTCATCTTAACAGTAGCTGGCTTTAAGCTTGTGTAAAAGTAAGATGGAAATGTAAAACAATCAACCATAGATTTTCAGCCAAATGATTCATATTTTTTCTTTCTTGAATTCTATATAAAAACCAATGCAACATTCATTTTTCAGATTACACTCATATGGCCTATGCTACTTCCTCAATTAAGCCTATTTGATGTACTTATTGGTGTAGGCTTTAGGCTCAGGAACGATATACAAGTATGTGGAAGTCAGCGCCATGTATCGTGAACACATGTTGTGACTTTTTTTTTTTCCTTTCCAGAAGATCAAAACAAAAACCCTACAAATTACATTGCATCATGGGGGCTTAACAGGTTGTATTATGATACAGGGCATTTGCTATAAGAGCTGTTAACAAGTTGCATAAATCAGAGTATGATCCCTCTGATCTGTGGGAGAAAGCTTCTGCCCATATGAAGAGCTGATTCCAAACTCGAATGGTCCCCTCCTCCCTTTCCCCAGAGTCCGGGTTACACCCTCAGGATGGTTCATGCTGTTGGTGAGATAAACAGTAGGAATACTTGATGTTACTTAACTGGGCTATCCATATGGTCTAAATGCCACTTCAGGAGTTCACTATTCTCTACCTCATGTCCAAAACTGTTTAGTTTTCCATTGCTGCCTGACTAATCTTGCTTATTAACCTTGAGTCTGCAGAGTCACCTGCCAACTCCTCCCCTTCTACCTCATTAATCTCACATTCCAAATCTGAACTGCCTAGCTGGGAATGCTTTACTGCGAGGAAGCTGGGGCCCTTCTCCATATTGCAGATGCTTACTGCAGGGTACACATTATGAGATGGAACACACACAGTTCAAGGTAAGGCATATGGTAGTGTATGGTACAGAATTATTATACTGGATTGGAGGGATGTGCCACAGCACAAGTCTTCAGATACATCCTTCCTGACTCACTATTATCACCCTCTGAAAACATGAAAGTGTGCCTTTTATATGCTGTATATGCTGTTTTTACTCATTTAGATCCACTTTGCTTTCAGTAACTGTAAGTACGCATTCCATCTATGGCAATTATTTTGATCCAGAGGAACATTTCCTCTAACTGGACAAGGAAGAAACCAATTCTCACCAATTTTTTTCTGCAGCCCCCTGATAATCTGCTTTAAGGGCTGAAGTACTATGCAGGAATTGGCTCTGGGTCTGTACAAAGGTGGTCAACCAATGAAAATCAGCCTGCTCTGCCTCCAAGCAGAACTCTGATCAGGGAGTGTTCCCTGTAGAACGAACACCAGAACCAAACCACTGTGTAATTTTTACTTTGAAAAACTGCCTTTTTAAATAAGTTGGATATAGATCCCTCAAGCATATGGCATTTTACCACAGCACAGATTTTCGTATACAGAAAGAGCAAAGATAAACATTGGAAGTAAGAAGGAAGAACCACTATGTCTTAGATTATGGTATACCACACCAATTCTGCAATTAATCCAGATGAAAATTGCAGTATTTCCATTTTTGTGGGAACACCAGAAGTGAATAATACCACCTTGACTAAGCCAGTCTTGGTCACACTGAAGGTAGAATTGTGTCTGACAACACCCTCTTCCCCCATGTAACAGGCAAGAAAACTTTTGGTGTTAGACTTCTGTTCTTGCAATGCTTCCCTACAACTGAAATTACACTCAGTTTCACATTCCTGTGTGTTTCAACCCCTTTGGGCATGGAAGTCAACCATAACTCTCACAATGAGGGACAATAATTAATCCACTATACTGCACACAACTAGCAGCCAAACAAAACTCCTCTATCCCTAAATGCCAAAATACAATTTGAATAGCATCGCTGAGGAATTGGAAGTCCACATAAAGAACAAATTTGTATTGCTGAACTCAAGTGATTGTGAACCAGAGGAACTGAGGAATTAACCCAGAGACAATATTAGGGAAAAAGGTCAAAATACAATTCCTGTAGCAAAAAGAAAAACATAACCTTGATGGATGACAGAAGAAATACACATAGAACAGGGGGGAATCAAAAGCAAAAGTGACAGAAATAGGGTCGGAATCTTGAATGCAGTGTTCAGTGACTATTACATAGAGGTGAAAAGAACCATTACAGCATCCAGTTCAAAGACATAGATGAGAACAACAAAAGAGGAGAGACAAGAGTCTTCTTTCAGAAGATCCAACACATTAAGGGAAATTCAAATCTAGATTAGATATGCTAAAAGACTAAACGGGAAACATAATATCTAACCAGCAGTAAAAGGAAAACATGGAAACAACATACAGAAGAGCTATACAGAAGATATGAAAGAATGACAGATTTGAAGAGGAATCCTATGATGATTCCAAACCTCAGAAACTGAATTTGTCTAGATCCTAACAAAACTATGCCAAAAATATGTAAGACAAAAAATGATCCACAGACTAGAAACATTCAATATACATTCCAATCCCTAAGAAAGGACATGCAAAAGAGTGCAGCAACCACAGGACAACTGCACTAATTTTTCATGCAAGTAAAGTGATGCTCAAGTTGCTGCAACAAAGAATTTTACTCTATATGGAGAAAGAAATGCCTGATGTTCAAGCTGATCCTGAAAAGGAAGAGACACTGGACATCAGGCTGCATATATCTGTCCACTGCTGGAATATGCCAAAGAAAATCAGATCAGTCTGTGCTCTATAGACTACAGCACAGCTTTTGACTGTTGTGAATCAGAAGCAGCAATGGATGGTTCTGAACAATATAGGTGTGCCTCAGCACTTGATTGTACTGATGAAGACAAGAAGCAACTGTTAGGACAGAACATGGAGAAACATAATGGTTATTTTTTTCAGTCTTTTCAATGTGTACACAGATTGTATCATACAGAAAGCTGCAAAATTGGCAGATGACATACCAATAATGTAAGATATGCAGATGATGGCATATTACTAAGAGGAAGCAGAAAAGAAATGAAAAAACTCCTGGTAAAAGAAGAAAGCACAAATCAGGACTACAGCAGAACATTAAAGGTTAAGGTAAATGTTTAACCTTGATGTTAAGTCCAGTCATGCCTGACTCTAGGGGGCAATGCTCATTTCTGTTGCCTAGCCAAGGGAGCCAGCGTTTGTCTGCAGACAGTCTCCGTGGTCATGTGGCCGGCATGACTAAACACCAAAGTGCACAGAATGCTGTTACCTGCCCACCAAAGTGGTACCTTTTTATCTACTTGCATTTGCATGCTTTCGAACTGCAAGGTTGGCAGGAGCTGGGATGGAGCAACAGGAACTCACTCAGTTGTGCAGATTCGAACTGGCAACCTTTCGATCAACCAGCCCAGCAGCACAGCGGTTTAAACCACTGCACCACCTGCATCCCTCACAGCAGAACATTAAGAAAACAAAAATCTTGACTATAGAAGAATTACAGAATTTCAAAGACAACAGTAAAGAAATTGAAATTGTGAAAGATTTTGCAAACCTTCACTCAATCAATTCAAGTGGAAACTGTAGCAAGCAATTACAAGAAGACTAAGTTTTGGAAAGGCAGCAGTGAAGGAAGTAGAGAAAAGCATCAGATGTAAGAACATTTCACTGGAGAGCGAGGCCAAAATCAACTACACTACTGTATTCCTGATCACTGTGTATGGGTATGAAAGGTGGACAATGAAGAAATCTGACAGGAAGAAAATTGTAGCATTTGAAACATGATGCTAAAGGAAAGTTGTGGATTGAACTGACAGAAAGAAAAGCAAGTGGATCCTAGATCATCAGAACTTTCCTGAAAGCAAAAACGATGAAACCGAGGCTACTGTACTTTGGCCACATAAGGAGAAGACAAGATACACTGGAGAAGACAATAATGCTATGGAAAGCTTGAATACATAAGAAGACTGCTGAATATGGCATGGATGGACTCCATAAAGGAAACTGCAGTTGAGCAGGGCTGTCAGGGACAGGTCAATTTGGAGAGCATTCTTTCATACAATCACTGTAAGTTAGAGACAAATTGTCAGCTCATAACAACAAGTCTATTTGGGAAACACTATATTCTGCCACCACCAAATCAGGCTCCTTTTTTAGCCCTGTATTATGCCACATTTTATATTTAAGGAAAATCAAAATTTAAAATTACTCACCTGTCAAAGGACCGAAACTGTACAGATTGTTCAGTAGCACCATCTCCAAGTACTCCAAGAAAAGCTGGTGGGAGAACGGCAGGATCCAGTGTGGCTCCCTCTGCAGGAGCACTGACCAAGCTTCGTAGGATTTCTTTTACATTGACATTTTTTGCAGCTGGCACAGAGGATGAAGTTTTATTGTCTGTCTCACTCTGTAGTTCATTTCTATTTTCCTGAGATTTATTAACTTCTGAAGAAAGTGTGCATAGTACTTCACTGATTGCATCGGGACCTGCACTGACACACTGTTCTTCTGCTTCTGCGATGGTCTCAGAATTACGCTCAAATCCAGAATGCACTTCCTCCTCGATACCTGAATCTCTTCTTTGCATGGACACCATACTTTCTGACTCTTCAGCAGATACAGGAGTTGCAGTGGTAATAGCCGCAGGTGGGCTTTCTACATCTTGAAAGAGAAACAAAACAGTAGGAAATTAGAAGGTTACTTTAAAGAGGTCAAACTCCACTTTTTCTTCTTCTTTTAGGTACTGTATTCAAGACAATATACTGAGTTACTTCTATCAAACTTGGGACTCCTTTTATTTTTGGCTAGAGAAACGGGACTTGGCATAGATTTAAATATGTTTTTAAGTTATAAATGGAAAAAGAAGGGCCTCTCCCTTGAAATCAGCGGGAGAGGCCCTTCTCCAGGAACCCTCCGTGAAGGATATTAGGAGGGTAAGTACTCGGAGGAGGGCATTCTCTGAGGTGGCGCCCAATCTATGGAATGCGCTCCCCAGAGAGGTCCGCCTGGCACCGTCGTTATTTGTTTTTTGGCTCCAGGCGAAGACCCTTTTATTTAAACATCATTTTAATCGCTAACATTATTTATTTTACATCTTTGGCCAGGACGTCTCCAATTATATTGTTTTTATATTGTTATTATTTATTTATTGTTGTGAGCCACCCCGAGGCTTCGGCAAATGGGGCGGCATAGAAGCTTTATAAATAAATTAAATAAATAAAAAGAAGGGTGTGGGGGCTGACCCAGCAGGCTCAATGTTTTTGATGATGGATGCTGTTTGTAGTTTTCTTTTTGTTTTTTAGGATTATAATTTCAAATAAAACTTATTAAAAAAAAGAAAATATACTGAGTTATTTTTTTTCTGACAAATGTCAATTAATAGTAGAGAGTTACTATAGCTAGGAACAGTAACTACACTACTGTAGACTACAGCTTGATCCTAAGCACATTTATTCAGAATCAAATGAGGTAGCCACACCAATAGGGTCAGGGGACATCCTGCAACACGGCGGAAATATTTATCAACACACGTATGATGGGATGCAGGCCATCGAGTCCTCATTAGGACACTACCAGGCCTTGGAAGGAGACATACAGCCAGTCCAAAAAAAAGGAGCTAAGTAGTGATTCTGCAATACCATCTACCCAGCTACACATACAATGCCATACCCTATTCCATACACCATTCTGACAGCGTTGAGCTAATCAAACTCAGCATTGAGCTAGAAATGCCATAAATGAATGAAGGAAGGAACAAACAAACAAACAAACAAACCAACAAACAAATAAAGGATCCTGCCACCTAGCATTCATTTGTATGCACAGCTGCACGCCAAAGGCTGGATCATTCCAGGATGTGCCTCTCCATGAAACAGGGCAGTATAGCAGCTGCATTTTCCCTCATTCTCCTGCACAAGCAGAGCCAACCACTCATGTAACAAGATAAACATGGTTTGAAAAATAAACTTTGAAAATAAGTGCCCACTTTCATTTCTGTAAGTGGGAAGGGCATTTGAGCTCCCTTCGGTGACCTGCCCCATTCTGGAAACATGCTCATTCTGGAAATTGGGCTCATTTTCAGGTACTTCATGAAAGCATAATACTTCATCATGCTAGAAGATGAGCAGTTAGGATACTGCCCATAGTTTCAACTGACCAGAGAACGGTTTTGTTGTATTCCTCAAAATGTGATTAGTATTTTATATTGAAGCAGCAATACTTAATATCATATTATCAGCCTTTCATTATCCAATTGTGGCTGAAATGTTCCACTAATATGCATTTTTGTTAACAATCTTTCACATTTTCTCCACCAAAAAGAGAATTCTCTTACACCAAAGTATATATAAAATATTGAACTATTTCTAAGGTTCTAATGTTGAACTTCAATTTCTAATTGAAGAATTGCTACTAAGATGGCTTTTTACCTATTTAGTTACACATGAGAAGAGCCAACAAAAATATTAAAAATTAATGTTCTAGTGGGGAGGAGAAGAATCATCAAAAAATAAATTTTGCATGCTTGCTCTCAAGTATCCCTCAGGGCTAGTAAACTAACACAGTATTTAACAGTAGTAATTAGAGGTGGTTTCTAATATCAATGTTCAATGTAGTAGACTAAATCTAGTATATGTTTTGAACTTGGACTTTTAAAAATAACCATACATTTCATTATGTGTACATCTCTGCTGGTTCTCATTAAAACTAATAAAACTCATTAAATCATAAAACCTGTGACTGTAATAGCTTCAGAATTTTTACATATATTACTTTGAAGAGAACTAAACTAAAAATAAAAACTTGTATCAGCCATGGAAGCAAGTGACAGTAGGAACCGATGAATGTTTATTTGGAAGGACTCCCAATATTCAGTAGGTATTACAACTTAAGTTACTAACCTGTTGTGGTGGTGGCCTTGGGTGACTGAATGGACTGTGGCCGCCTCCGTTCATCCTGAGGTTCCAGAATATCTCTATATTTTGAAACCATGAGAACAGAGATAAAATATACCACAGCCAACGCCAAGAACTGTGCCTGTTTGCTATCTTCCTGTAAAAGACAAACAAACAAACAATCACAGCTTTTCAAATTGTGTCCAGTCCTACATAACACAATCACCTGCTGCACACTCATCTCTCCAAGTGAAACACTAAAATAATCATGGTAGCTCACTGTGGCTTACTTAGGAGAATTTATGGATAGAAAGTGCAGAACTGTTTAATTCCTCTCATTCAGACCTGATCCACACATGCAGCAGGATGATGCAGAGTGCTGAACTAGCAGAATGGGCCATGCCTGCTGCTTCATATCACAGCTCTAGATGGACTGCTATACCAAAGAATTCACTTCATGAATAAAACAAGTGCATCAGAAGTAAAGAATCCAACCCAAACTTTTCTATAGTATGCTAGTTCTTTTTTAACTTGAGTTTAAAAAAAAACATGAACGAATATTCAACAAGGTGATCATCGGCCTACAGATGCTTCAGAATTCTTCCACCAGGTTCTGCTACACATTTAGAACAGGTGTCACATTGGGTACTATATGAAGTATTGCCAACCAGGTTGTAGGCTTGGTCTGGGAAAGAAAGAGCTTTACTGGGTAACTATGAACTGGACATGGGGAATGTGTACATGTAAGTTTCGTAAATCTCACAGCAGCATCTGTCATCACTGATTGAGACAGACTCAGGAACACTATTTTGTGGTGTTTCCTGCCCTATTTGGCTGAATACTCACAGGAAGTTCTGTTGAAGGACATTGTTTGGCTATTGGTCTATGGAGTTTCTTAAGCCACTACTTCCCCCTCTGTTCTTTTCAGCATCTAAATGAAGCTAAAGAAAGTCATCTACACTTTAGGCAGATGATTTCAATACCCAGATCTTTCTCTTCTTTACAATTTATGCTGTGGAAGTCTTCCACAGCTGCTTGGATATAGTGAAGCCCAGAATGTGAATGAAGAAACTGTGACTCAGTCCTGACAACTCAGAGCTTTTACTGTACAACCTACATGCCTGAGTTCAAACTGTTTTGGATAGGGCAGTGTTCTTTTGTAAGGATGACGTTTCAAGTTTGGGTGATTTCTTTGACTGGATGAGAAGTTTTCATCCTGTTCTAGATGGGGTTATATTCCTCCTAAAGTAGCAAGTTTGTAGCGTGGGGGTGCTCCTTGATCCATCTTTGTCACTTGAGGCTCAGATGGCATTGGTGACTTGGAGTAATTTCTTCTAGCTTTGGCTGATGGCCCAGCTGCACCCCCTACCTGGACAGGGATAGCCTGGCTTCAGTAATCTATGCTCTGGCAATTTCTAAATCAGATCAGTGCAAGGCAGTCTACATTGGGATGCCCTTGAAGACAGTTCAGAAACTGGAGGTGGTGCAAAATGTAGCAGCCAGACTAATAACTGGGACCTGTTATTCTGTAGCTTTTGACTGCTCAAAAGAGCAATGTCAGCTCACGACACTGACATTCCTTTCAAAGAGCACTGATTTTAAAAAGTTCTGTTTTGATGTTAATGGGAAATGATGCGAAACTTATTTTTCTGGGCTATTTATCTTGATTTTTTTCATCTTCACCAACACTGTCAAATGCAAGTACTGCTAAGAGTTAGACTACCAGATTCGCCTAAGGCCTCACACATGCTTCTTATCCACTGTACATAAACTTTGTGAATTCTGTGTAGCTTATGAAAACATAATACACTTTTAAAAGAACTATGGAGTCTGGGTTTCTATAACTTACTGTCCCTGTAGTAGTAGCAGCAACAGATATAATTCAGTAGTCTGCTGGATCAAACAGATGTTGCAACATTTGTGGATCTCTCCTGTTTGCTCAGCCTTACTCCTTTAATTTTTTCCAGTTTTCCTACTCGTTATGGGAAAAATTACTGAAGGAGAAATGCCCATTGAATGGTGGAATGGCTGATATATTTTGCACATATATGTTTTGTATTACATTTTTACCTCTTCTGCTGTTCATTGTTACATCTGTTTATATATTATGTGTTGTATTTTTATTCTTTTAGCATGTTATAATGTAAAACTTCCCCGAGAACACTTCTTATTGGACAACCTAAGAGTATAATAAATATATACATGCATACATAAAATAAAAACCTGAACCTATAACTTGCATTCCATCAAAATCCAGCAAAGAATAGGCAACTTTGCATGAAAATACAATTCAGTGTTTGGAATGGAATAAGAAGAGATTATACGTGATATCCTCAAGGATAAAAAGCAAGACACTGGAAAATTCACATTCTATGAACCAGAGAAAAAACAGTGTTTTTGAAGCTGAAGCAACCTGCAGGGGCAGCAGTTTATGGGAAACTTATGTCTTTCATCCTGACCTCAAATTCTTGGTCTGCTATTCCCCACAGAGTTTTATTATTCCCAAAGACACTCCATTAGATTTTGGCACCACAGGAAGCTGCATAAAGTCTATATTGGCGCAGAAAATCAAACCATAAAGAGAAATGAGTAAGAAAAATTTGCTAACTCACTATATCTCTGAATACCACTGCACGGAGCCGGTTAATATCCATATCTTGCAGAAGTCTGTCAGTATCTCTTACTGGCGAAATCCCTCCAGTCACGATATCAACTGCGCTCTGTTCAGAACACAGAAATGCATTTATTCACTTTATTTTGAAAAACACTGTAGAATACCCCAAACTTTCACTACTTCTACAGTGTTACACAAGCAATGATCTAGTGAATTCAAGGTAATATACACAAATCAGATATGTGAGAGTTATTTGAAAGATTTATAAAGTACTATACTATCAAAGAAAATTGGGGAAGAGTCTAGAAGTATTTGGCACACATACTTAAGTCTTCTCTCCCTCTTACAAAGAGTGACAGCATTCATAAGCTGAATTATCAATTTAACATAAATGATCATGTTATTCAAATACTTTGTTTTTCTCTCCAACAACTACAGTGCTTCAAAAAAATCCCTGAGGACCTATCCATCAGGTCACAGAGATAACACATCAACATCTGCCTGCATTTAACAACAAAAGATACTTGCCTTTGCTCCAGACCTTCCTGCTGCTATCAGACTTTGTACTGTTTTCTGACACTTAACATTTTCTCCACTAAGTTTCATTAGAGCGTGTTGCTGTTGACACTCCAAACAATTTCTGACTGCCACTGCACATACTAAACAGAAAGGATAAAGGGTATGGTAAAAAAAAATCTACATTTCTGTAATGTCTGAAGATAACTTATATATCTATTCCTGATGAAACAAATGAGTTTCTATCTTTTTCCAATCCTAGTTTAAACAAAACTGATCAAAGGGGAGTTGGCTATATCTTGAAATGAGTAGCGCTCTGTTCTGTGTCCATTCAAAATTCCAGCACTACTAGACATTTTAAGAACTACTGCACTAATATTTTGATGTTATATTTTATTACTTACGGAACGATATGAAATTTCACCCAATTGTATTTATATCTATGCTGGATTGGAGCCAGACTTCCCATGTGTGGAGTTCAAGTTACTGAACATCCCTGATGGAGAAGGAGGGAAACTTGATCTTTTCTGATTCCTTCTTCAGAAAACTGGAAAGCTGCTCCAGAGAGATAGGGGACTCCATCTCTCTATGGTAGCACAGACGGCTGCAGAAGGAATCAGCAAAAAGAGTTTTTGCCCTTCTTCCAGCAGGATCTTTCACTGAATTTCAGTTCCTGCCACAGACAGGAGACCTTCAGTTCACTGAAGGGTAACACTGGATCCATATTATTTCATGTTTCTGAAAGAATAATTGGGGAAATCTCTGCTTTAAGGCAATTTCCTCATTAAGAGCTACACTAAGAACAATAACTCAGTTCACAAGTATTGATGGAGCATAGTGGGTACATCTCATAGCTGCTTTAAATAACTTGAATAGGGGCTGCTATGTGAAGTCTAAACACAGGGAGCATAGGTAATTAGGTTAACTGTGGTTTGTTTAGTACATGATTAGCCTATACAGTAGAAGTGACAAATAGATTTAAGGAATTAGATCTGATAGACAGAGTGCCTGAAGAACTATGGATGGAGGTTCACAACACTGTACAAGAGGTAGCAACTAAAGCCACCCCAAAGAAAAAGAAATGCAAGAAAGCAAAATGGCTTTCTGAAGAAGCTTTACAAATAGCTGAGGAAAGAAGGGAAGCAAAAGGCAAGGGAGAAAGAGAAAGATACAAACAATTGAATGCAGAATTCCAGAGAATAGCTAGAAGAGATAAGAATGCCTTGTTCAATGAACAGTGCAAAGAAATAGAAGAAAACAATAGAACAGGGAGGACCAGAGATCTCTTCAAGAAAATTGGAGATATGAAGGGAACATTTCATGCAAAGATGGGCATGATAAAGGACCAAAATGGCAGGCAGAGGCAGAAGAGATTAAGAAGAGGTGGAAAGATTACACAGAAGAACTATACAAGAAAGAGCTTAATGTCCCTGATAACCACGAAGGGGTGGTCACTGACCTCGAGCCAGACATCCTGGAATGTGAAGTCAAATGGGCCTTAGGAAGTCTGAGCAACAACAAAGCTAGTGGAGGTGACAGTATTCCAGCTGAGCTATTCAAAATCTTAAAAGATGATGCAGTAAAAGTGCTACACTCAATATGCCAGCAAATTTGGATAACTCAACAGTGGCCACAGGATTGGAAAAGGTCAGTTTACATTCCGATCCCAAAGAACGGCAATGCCAAAGAATGTTCAAACTACTGCACCATTGCATTCATTTCACACGCTAACAAAGTTATGCTCAAAAGCCTACAAGCTAGGCTCCAGCAGTAGGTGGACCGAGAACTACCAGAAGTACAGGCAGGATTTCGAAGAGGGAGAGGAACTAGAGATCAAATTGCCAACATACGCTGGATCATGGAGAAAGCTAGAGAGTTCCAGAAAAACACCTACTTCTGCTTCATTGACTATGCTAAAGCCTTTGATTGTGTGGATCACAACAAATTGTGGCAAGTTCTTAAAGAGATGGGAGTACCAGACCATCTTATTTGTCTCTTGAGAAACCTATATGCGGGTCAAGAAGCAACAGGGAGAATTGGACATGGAACCACTGATTGGTTCAAAATTGAGAAAGGAGTTCGGCAAGGCTGTATACTGTCACCCTACCTATTTAACTTATATGCAGAGCACATATTGAGAAAGGCAGGCCTAGAGGAATCACCAGTTGGAATTAAGATTGCTGGGAGAAATATCAACAACCTCAGCTATGCAGATGATACCACTCTCATGGCGGAAAGTGAAGAGGAACTAAAGAGCCTCTTGATGTGGGTGAATGAGGAGAGTGCAAAAATTGGCTTGAAACTCAACATTAAGAAAACTAAGATCATGGCATCTGGTCCTCTCACTTCCTGGCAAATAGATGGGGAAGAAATGGAGGCAGTGACAGATTTTATTTTCCTGGGCTCCAAGATCACTGCAGATGGGGACTGCAGCCAAGAAATTAAAAGACGCTTGCTCCTGGGGAGGAAAGCTATAGCAAATCTAGACAGCATACTAAAAAGCAGAGACAACACCCTGCCAACAAAAGTGCATATAGTCAAGCTATGGTTTTCCCAGTTGCCATATATGGCTGTGAAAGCTGGACCATAAGGAAGGCTGAGCACCAAAGGATTGAGTCCTTTGAATTGTGGTGCTGGAGGAGACTCCTGCAAGTCCCTTGGACCGCAAGGCGATCCAACCGGTCAGTCTAGAGGAGATCAACCCTGACTGCTCTTTAGAAGGCCAGATCCTGAAGATGAAACTCAAATACTTTGGCCACCTAATGAGAAGGAAGGACTCCCTGGAGAAGAGCCTAATGCTGGGAACAATAAATGGCAAAAGAAGAAGGGAACGGCAGAGGATGAGGTGGCTGGATGGAGTCACTGAAGCAGTTGGTGTGAGCTTAAGTGGACTCCAGGGGATGCTAGGGGACAGAAAGGCCTGGAGGAATGTTATCCATGGGGTCACGATGGGTCGGACACAACTTCGCGACTAACAACAACAACAATGTGACGGCTAAACACAGAGAGCATAGGTAATCAGGTTAACTGTGGTTTGTTTAGTACATGATTAGCCTATGGAATCCAGGTTTGGACATCACACAGCAAGCCCTGATCACTCCAAACAGGGAAAAATATTCAGAAATGTGTCCAACATAAGCCATGGCAAAGTTAATTAACCCATGTTTTGCAGCCATTATATTCAAACAGCTGCAATGTTTTGTCTCATATGCAATGGCAGTTGAAATCTTTCCCAGTGTTGAATACTGAGAACTACAGTAATTTTAGAAAATGTTAAATTAAGTGTTTTGCATTACTTCTGAGGTTATACATAAAAGATATATTTTATCAAAGAAAAAGAACACCCATGAAACTGCATATGAATGCTAGCCAATTATTTGCTTACCAAGTCGAAGACACTGCCGTAAAATTCCACCAGATGACATATTTTTCTCTGACTCAATTTCAGTAAATCCAAGAGAGCTTGCAAATATTAATACATCCACAAGGCTAATTAATCTTTGCAGGAAGGTTACTGAAGCTTCTACTGACAGTCCTTGAGTTGGCTCAATGTTTTCCAATTCATGCTGCATGGGTATATTCAAAACAATCTTTACTTCTATATATTTCCCTGTTAGTCATTATAATCTAACAGTACTGAAGCAACATTTGGTACATCTAGATTGATAAATTTCTTACATCATTTGACCTGCAATGTAATATTTTGAAGGTGTGCATAAGGTAAACCTACCAAGGGCCAGGCCTTTTGTGAAATGAAAGATCTTGTTAATTTCTTATCTTCTACAAGTGATTAGCATAAACCAATAGCTGCTGGTCATTTTGCCTGCGTGCTAGTAACTTTGGTACTCATGTATGAAAAAGTAGGACACTGAGAAAACTACAATAATACAAAGGTCCAAACTCTGAAACAGGGAATGCTTAGGTGGCAAAATTTTATTTTAAATGTAGGTTAAAAATTCTGCATTGGCTCTATATTGTATGATTCAACTATACATTAAAATACAACTATTGTAGCCTCTGTTGTTACTTCAGTATGGAACAATTTTTGTCATAGGTACTGCAACATATTGTACCATTACTTTGAAATATGGAACAATGCAGAAATCCATCAGAAACTCAAATAAAACATGGTCCTTTGTAGTTGAAAAACTTCCAAGAAGTTTTTAATCCCTGGTTTCTCAAATTTATACCTATGACTGGAAATGCAAGCAGATCACATCAAAAGCTTTATTTGTGAAAAACCCCCACCCCAAAAGAGACTATTATACAGGAAATGTGCAAATCACTGGCTTCTTTCCTATGCATACCATTCCTCAAGAAAATGGTAGAAACACCCATTTAATGTCATGAGAAAAAAGAGCAGGTTATATAGCTGCTTTAGTGCTGCTGTCACTTTGCACATGCACTGATGCAATTTTATACCACAATAAAGGGAAGGCAATCCACAGTGCCTTTTGTGCTGTCCCCTATATAGTCTTGTAAAGGCCCTTGCTCTGCATTTCCTCACCTTGAAGTACTACACAGAAAATGACTGATCATGGGGCTTTTCAGTGAAGGCACCCAATCTTTGGAATTCTATCATCAGAGGCAGTCAATTGGTAGCCTGTAAGCACCAAATAAAAATACTGTCCTGAGTTTTTAATAGATTATTAATTGCCCTGACTATTCTACTGTTTTGTTAATGCATCCTAAGGTTTAATCCTGCTGTACTGGTGTTGTCATGATTTTATACTTCTAGCATATCTTACTCTTGTTTTAACAGCTTTTAACATATATGGCCTTGCACTTCAAGGCTGTATATGTTTCAAATAAATAAAATAAACAGAGTATTGATTCTGTGAAGAATATGGCTGTCTGGGTTCCATATAAGACAAACTATAAATTAAATTATTTCATGAGAAAGCCTGAAATAAGTATTGCATGAACATACGCTGTAATAAAATTATGGTTTGTGCTTGCTAGCCAAACCCCATGGTTTGTAATTCAGATTTCAAGGCCAATCACTAACCATAGATTGTCTGCTAGAATATATGCAAACTGTGTCATTACATCCATGACTTGCCATAAAAGAAAGGCAACAGATGCCAAAGAGACACTCTCATACAGTGCCAATACAGTGCTAAGTATTACATGCTAATTAAGCCAAGGGATGCACATTGACAGTATTTTAAAAATTAGTTGTCCCTAGCCATTTTCAAAGATGGTGGAAGCTCATGGCAGCCACTTCCCTAGTTGAAGTGCAAAAATCCCTAGGAACATCTAATTAAATTTCTCTCAGGATGATCATGGAATGCCTTGACAAAGGACCCTTGTGCTTAGGTGGAACTTCTGCCCAAAGCAAAATCAGCAGTTGCAAGAACAGACGAATAAGAACATGAGATGATCCAAACTAATATAATCTTATCATTTCCAGCATTTTGTTCACCACATGCCTGTGGGAATATTAGTGCAATAACAGACTCCAGAATCAAGCCCTTTCACCAAAAATAAAGGAGCCACAACGGGGAATGTGACGTGAAAGAAACCAGGAAATAGACCACCAAGGTCAATCTGCTCCCCTAGCCCTCAGGCAAGTAACCACAAGTTACATACAGGCAGTCTAGACAGTAAGTACAGCTGGAACACTATGCAAAATATGTGGGGTAGAAGAGAAATCACATTTCTGGCAGATTCTAGGACTCTGCCCCCTTAAACAGACAAGACCTGGCTCAGTGCACAAGGGAAAACTGAAGTCAAAATCTTGCAGCCAGGTTGCTTGGTGCCGCCCCACAGCTCCCTTCTTCCCCACTGCACAGTCATAAACACATCCACTTGAGCACAGGAGTCTATCTACTATAATTCAAAGCACATGGAAAGGCACCCTCCCACAAAGCAGCACTTCTGCATTAGAAAATGAATTTCTTACTGTAGCAGATGTAGCAGCTGAAAGTAAAGGTAATATGCCACCACATGCCATTATCATATTATCCATCACTTGAGAGATGAGATGAATCGTGTTATGTACAAAGATGACATTGTCATTGCTGTTCACAAAGTCCACCACGGTCTTGGTAGAATGGCTAGCCAAAAATAAAGACACAATATTTAAAAACACAGAATGTATGCAGTTTGAGTTGCTGTTTCAAAAAGTATTTATAGCATTATTTTTTAGTTATATCAGCCAGAAAACTCCAGCTACACATCAGCATCCTAAACTGTCAATGCACCTTTGTCTTGACCTGAAAATGCCCTTTCCTTATGCTTCTAATCCTCTCCAGAACACAGAATGGCAACTGTGTCTAAGTGTGCGGTGAATAATTATTTATTATGATGATGTCTGATTATCTACAGCAGCAAAAGACACTGTATAAATCAAAGTAAGTTTCCCTCGGGATATAAACTAGATCTGAACTCAAGTCTCTCAAGAGGAAACTAGTACCTTACCAAGAACTCACAAACTTCCCTCTTTAAGCAAAATGATTTTAAATATATAAAACTAGGGCATTTAATTCATGTACCAATATACCAACACATTAGCTTCCTTCCACAGTTTAAGTCTCATCAAGACACCTGTAGCATATGTGATTTAGTACTAGTCATCTCTATATTTCATATCTTATCAAAGAAAGCCTTATATTTAAACAATGGTGCAACAAACAGGTGAAATTAAATCACTGAACAGTTTTTGGCTCGCAGAGTCTATGTGCATAAGAAAATTGCTTCTAATATTCTGGACTGTGCTTTTTAAATAGCACCCATCATACAGCAATGGAGAAAGAACTATAAGCCAAAGTGGGCAACGTGTGGCCCTCCAAATACTTGGCTCACAGCCCCCATTATCCCTTACCATTACCTATGCTGGCAAGGGCTAAAGAGAGCTGCAGCCAAAAAATTAACTTTGGAGGCTCACTTGGTAACATTCTCAGATGCAGGACACCGGAGCAAGCAAGGTCGTATGAACATATGGGCAGAGAAGGCCCGTGCAGCATTTCAAGTGTTGCTCAATGCTCAGCTTCTATTTAATCATCTGGACAGCTCCTGGTCTCTCTTACAGTGAGAGCAAAAGTGACCATTATCAAAGATAAACTGTTAAACCACAAGGCACTAAGTGAGTGGAAACACTGTGAGAGAGAAAGCAATAACCTGAAGGTGTTGCTAGGTATTAATATAATATTCCTCCTGCATCTCAGGTAAGGGCACATTCTTCTTGCAACATAGCTGCTAAAGACGATGAATCTCTGTACCAGCAGAGTGGCATATAAGGTAGAACTCAAGCAAGTGAAGCAACTGGAGCACTGGGATGGGCTCTAGGAGATTTTAATATGCACATTTATAGAAATATTACCAATCAAAAGCCAAATGATCTGCTTTTATTATTATCAGCTTATTTTATAATTACAATCTTCTCACATCTCCAATAGCTGAGCATGCAGCCAAATCAGAGTTCTTAATTCAAGATTTATGATAGAGTTTATCCATTTAAAATAGACTTCAAAATAGTTCTCCCAGTAGAAGGGCTAGAACTGATAGATTTGGGTTATGCTATAGAATCTAAGAACTAACATTTCACACAGTACGTTTTACCTTCTCCACATTTGTACATCTGTTTCTATTGAAAAGAGCAGGTCTGTGAGTAAGCGTTGGTGCATTTGTGACCATCGGAATTCGGGAATACGAAACATGGTAGACCTAGAATCCCTTCTTTGCCCATTGGACACAGCTCCTGTGCTCTGACCAGAAGAATCATGTTGCCTCGACATCTTGATAAATAAAATATATGTAAAAACCAAGTTGAAGTTCTGACTGAAATATTTCAGGTCCGAGACTGAATAGAAATTAAAGTCTGGGAAAACCATACATATCTTGAAAACGTGAAACAGTCTGTTAAACTCAACCCAGCTAATTCTACAAAGTCAATGAAGTCTGACATTTCAGAAGTTAAAATAGCAACTAATTATATAAATTCTACACACTACAGAGCTACTGTGCCATCATCTCTGCCAGCCAAGACAAGCATAAACAGCAGCTCAGCCTTACCACATAGGGTGAATATACTGCTGCTGACTGTGATCTCCCTCCTTTGAGGAAGTATGGAGTGGAATGATGGTTATCCATTGGAAGGTGTCCCTGCAGGAGGGAAGCACTTAAGTACATCACTGTTTTACTAAGTCATGTAGCATCAGTGACCTTGATGCAAAGAAGTGGTGAGTGATGCATTGTTTAGCTCAATTTTACTTTTTTATTTATTAGTTTAAACACACAGACACTTCATCTTGACTTGATAATATTTGTAATTAATCCTCGAATTTCTACAAGTTTCTACAGACCAATTAGGCAGCTCATTTGCAACTGATGGTAGCCATTATGAAGTATACATCTATTAAGAAAAGTCATTTTAAAATGTTCATGTATCAATATCTTTCTATCTTAACATTTTTAAATTAAGTAAAAAGAAAAGATTGGTGTAAAACATACCTCAGGAATGGGCCGAAGAGGCTGATTTACTTCCAGACTTGCACTGGACTTTAACTCCAATCTTTCAGTATCTGACGCCACACTAGAAACATCAAGTTTAGCAATTTTCTTGTCTGAAGGTACCAATGTTTCTGGAGTAGGTGGCTGTATATTATCTGCCACTGTTTTGCTTTGGGGATGAGCAATATTTTCTCCATTTGACTTCTCTACAACATTTGAATCTGGTTGACCTTTTGCACCATTTATTTCAGAAGCAGTAATTTGTGGAGGTGGGATTGGTTCTTGTTCTCTTTCCACTGATGCTTCAACACCTTCTAAAGCCACAGAATCAGGTTCTTTCAATGTAACACTATTCTGTTCTATTGTTAGTGTTTCCTGGCTTTTATCCAAGTTGTGTTCTTCACTTGGTCTAGCAGCACACTCCTCTGATGTAAAAGGCAGGCTGCTCTCCTCTTTTAAATCAACAAAATCTTCCTCTTCCTCCATTTCTGGTGTTGGCTTTTCTAGTATCTCTGGACTTTCAAGTGTCTCTCCATCTGCATTTTCTGAAGGAGATAGTACATCAGTGGCTGCAAGCATTTCTTCCTCTTGATTTGTTTTAAGCATTTCCGATGTGACTTCTGAGCTCTCTTTTATTACTTCAGCCTGCTGAGAAATTTCTAAGCAAGGTACTTTATTCAGATCAGGTGTTCTCTGACCACTCTCTGTCTTCTTTTCTTCATTCATTTCTACATTAGTTCGTTCTTCAAAATCTGATGATCTTTCTTCACCAGTCAAAGTATATTTTACATTCCCGTTCACATCACTGTTCGCAGAAGGACCAGCTTCTTTTACTTCCAATTTTTGGTGCCCTTCTGTGATTTCATTTATTTTACTAGTCCCTGAGATAGTTCTAACAAGAGCTGATGGACCAGCACTGCAGCTATCATCTCCTTTCTCTTGATATTCCCTGAACATCTGAGAAAGACTCTCCTTGTGTATTTCAAAAGTTACCTTAAAAAAAAAAAGACAGTTTCAGATTGGTAAATATTTAAAGTTCACAAGTAATTCTGCCATGATATTTTCTCCCATGAATGAGTTCAATATATACAAATTTGTAGAATATGTATGTTATCATCACGGTGTATTTATAATAACAGTACGAACTAAATATTCCCTAAATATTATCTGATCTTTTGCATTTTGGGTTGACACTTCATAAGACAAGATATAGCTCTCTGATATTTTGGCACAGGATCTGAATTTAATTTGAATCAGAGCTCTAGCCTAGAATCTGATTTAAGTTTAATGGTGGCCTTAAAAATATCAACAAGTTACTTCGATGAATCAGTCAACTGAATGCATTAGACACATTTCTCCTTAAAAAAGGGTGTCTTACAGCAAGGGTTAAAGCATACAAAAAGTTTAAATGATCTAAAACAGCTTAAAAGGATTTAAAATGCCAAGATCCAGTAATTTACATCCTACACAGTCATTCCAATCAGACAACTACGATAATGCAGAGTGGGAATCTTTACCGGCCCTTCCTCCACCATCACACTGCAGCCAGCCCTGCTACCAACACTACAAGTACACATTCTGCACAATCAGGGAGCACATTATGGAGGGAGCCTACATGCCTAGAACAAAGGTTCCAGCTATAGATGTGTCCTCACCCTCAATGCATGGCAGACAGAGCAAACAAAAACAAGATGGGGACCAAACATACAATAATACATAAAGACTGTTACACATGTAACACTTTGATGTCAATGTAAATGGCTGTATCAATGTATTCACTGAAATTAAGATTCCCACAACATTGCCCTTATGTTTAAAAGACTCGTGACTCAACACAGCCTGCCTCCTCACGGAGAAGACGAGAGCATTGTTTACAAACCATAAAGCATGGCTTTCAGATACTTGATTTTGGAAGCTCTCCAATGAACTGCTGCCATTTAGTCTACTATAAGTCTAGATAAGATACTTAAATATATCCTAATTCTCTGCCTCAATGCAGAATCCCTACAGAGTAACTAGTTTTGCAACTCACATATAAAGCTTTAGGGAAAAAAATATGGTTAAGACAGAAATACATTAAAACATGAGAATTATATACTTACTCTCAGAAAAGTCTAATGGAGCATTTTTCCCTAAAACCAACCAAGCATATTTAATTTTATGCTTATGAATTCATTATTTTTGTGCTATACATAATAAAATCTCCACAGTATACTACACTACCCATCAGATGATGTGGAAGAGACATGATAATGTCAACATCGTATGAAGGATTTCTGTAGGAAGCATTTGAGTTACTCCCATCAAATATGCAATTGCCAACATAGAGAAAATAGATGGGCTGAAAGTAAAGTAAAATCTCTATGCAGATACAAACATACTGATTGAACATAAGGCAATGGGTGTATATTAGCAAACCTGAATCAGTATTTTGTTCCTAGTTCCTATCATGCATTCATACGCTTCTGTTTAGTTCACTCTATCTTTTCTATGTCAGCAATATATTTTTTCATTCATCCTGACAAAGGTGAGATGAGTTGAGAGATTTACAGCTCAGATTTTAAAGATTCATTTCCCAAAGAGATGCCCTAAGCCCTCTAGAGTTTTTCATCAGCTAACTTGGTATCTGCAGCACTAAATATTCCCTTAGGCAAATCAGTCTCAGGGCGGCAAGCTTTGTCAAGGAAATTCATGGACGCCTCCTCAACCAGTAATCTATTATATATTCTTCTCCTGGATCTTAATAAGAAAGCGCTTATCTAACCAGTGTAACCAGAAATAATTGCTGAACCTTTTCTCTTTGTACAACCACAGAATCCTTAACAAGAAAGAAACCCACAAGAAAGAATGCAGGATTTTTCCCTTGCTGAGAATTTACCATCATGCACAATAACATTGACAAAAAAGATAACCACCTATCATTAACTGGGAAAATGAAGTTTTAATGTCTTATTTGTGATTTATTAAAAGACATATACCCCACCTTTCCAAAAACGCATGGCAATCAAAAGTGTTATCTTACTAATATGTACATGGCAGGGGAAAATAGATTTATTTATTTATTTTTTATAAAAGATGAACAGGTATATGTTGAGACATGAGCTTTCATGCAAAAGAGCACACTTAATCAGATGCAAGTGCTCAAATGGATTCCAATCCACAGTCATCAAATGCCACAGGATTCTTTGCATATAGCTGTTTATACACATCTGCTAAACAGGAACCATTTGGAAAATATTTAACTACTTTTCTAGGAATCTATAATATGTCAGACTTATCAACCATCTACTAAATAGAATTATTTTCTACCTACAAACTGAAGAAGCAACCAAAAACATGTTTGTTCTGTACATAAATAAGGAAAAAGGGTATTAAAAGGGATTCAAATTGATGGTTTTGCTAAGAAAATTGGTCTACCATTCTACTGTCTTTATTTAACACTTTTGCATACCATCTCATAGCCTCATGGCTCTCTAGATGGTTTACATGATAAGAACCAACAGCATAAAACATCCTAAATACATACAGTTTAGACAATTGTCACAAAGAATTTTTACATTCTCACATTGCACTGCCAAGAAGCCACAAACGTTCAAAAGTATGTGGAGAGGAAATTTGTGCACCTGCAACAACAGACCACGCAGGTATACAAAGTTCATCTCCGTTTATTTTCCAGCCATTTAATTTGTGTCACTTCTCCTCCACTTTCTTTCTAACCCTTGTGTTTGCATATATTTGTGTGGTTTTTTCATTGTCAGCAGTGACTATAACAATAACTGCTCAGTAAAGGAGCTAGAAAAAAGAGCATGGGATAAATAATTCCCCTTTCTAGCCTAACTGGAAAGTCAGGGAAGTCTTGAAAAGGTACAAGGAAGTGAGAAATGTTAGTTCACATCACACATGGTAAATTATAGTCATCTTTCCCCCACCCTGGTGCACTCATTCCTCTGGTGCTTCTAACTTGCACTACAAGGTCCTTCCTCTCTCTTACTGTTATTTTTCTCCACAACTGTGTGGTCATTAGACAACAGGAAGCCTCATCTTGTCAATGCCCATACCAGAATGCTGTTAAGTGAACACTTGAAAAAGACAGCAAAAATAATAATCATTGTGGCCTGAACTGCACAATTCTGAAACACCCAAAATTAACAGTTAAAAAAATAAAAAGCTGGGGAACAAGTCATGGCCATTCCAAAGTGCTGCTTTGACATCAGTAGAAAGGCAACCACTCACAAAATCATGAAAAGTGAATGGCATGGCATATTTTTGCTGAATGGTCCTGAAACAAATTGTGACATCACACAATAAAAATTAGCCTCCTGGGTTCAGATGACACAACAACCCATAATGGACAAGAGCAATCCTACAACGTCACAGGTACTCTATATGGCTTGTTCATGAAAAATAAACCACTAGTTGTTGTCCAAACAACGTAACAACCCTCCATGGCTAGCTGTCTAGGGAACATTGTCAGTGACTTCTTGGCTACACATCTGAGATGATCAGCCATGTCAAAATTCCAATTTTTAAAGAAAGCCTATGGTTTAACAACTGTCAAAATTCCATGCCACTGTAAATGGGATGATTCACACTTTCCCATTTCCCTACACACCTAGAACCTTGAGAAAGAGTGGAAAAGGTGAGGGACACTGAGGTCAACTCCAAACAAGAAATGAGAGGATGGTATCAAAGAGGTGATCTACTAAATACTCCATTTCATGACTAAGGATCTGCTTGTGGCTTTCTGTTTCACCTGACAGCTGTCAAATAAAGAGCAAAAGCAACACATTGACCTATTTGTCAATGACTGTGATTGGTACAGCCTTTATTTTAATAGAAGACACCATCTAGGACATTTTGATTAGTTAAGGCCATGCATTTGGGCTGTTTGGAGTTGCACTGACATTTGTCAGAAAAAATGCTCCATCTTAAGGATTAAAACAAAATAGTGAACAGTGACAACCATTCTAATATGTCAGTTCAATACTTGAAGGTGCTGTTTTGGGCTGTCCCTTTGGAGATCACAACAAGAGATCTCTCTCCTCCAAAAAAACCAGGGCAGATTATTTTGTTACAAAAATGTGAGTGATACCAACCAGTTTCATTCGCCAGGCTGTAAATCACCCAGGGAGCTTCAGCTACGGGGTGGTATAGAAATTAAATAGCAACAACAACATTTGTGCACAAACTGCACTCAAGTTTGTTGCAAGTGCTGACACCCTGTTTTATATCAAAGCTTAAGCTCACTGCATGGAGACTTGAATGTAAATAGGATCCACAATTTTTATAACTGGTTTCTAGAATTAACAGTACTATTGCCTTATCACTAATATACACAGCCTAAAAGTAATTTAATTTTTTACTGTTTTTGCATTAAAACTAGGCCATCTCAAAAGGAAATTTATTTTTACTGGGAACAGGAGCTTTCCTCTATTTATACCTGGTAAATATTTTCCAAAATTTAAAGCTTTGATTCCTAATCCCTAAGGGGTCCCATTGCACTACATTTAGAGAGGGGATCCAGGTCACACAGATTACAGTCTGTTCAGATAGATTCATCAGATTCTGAGAAGCAGAAGCCACAAGGGGACAGATCTTGGCAGTTTCAAGGTAACCTAATGAAGATTCTCATGCAAATTGTAAGCACCAGCCTTCCTTGAAAAGGAGAGGGACATTTCACAGCTGCAGGAGGTGGCAGTAGATAAGGAGTGCTTTGATCCAGTCAGGATATGACAAGCAAAACTAGCAGACCAAAAAGTGTCTGGCATTCCCGCTATCTAGACCCCAAGATGCAGGAGCCACCCTGAGGATGGAGTCAGAATCCAGGAAGGGAGAAAAGGATGGTAAGTTTCAGGTTGGATCCCGTTCTTTACAGGGGCAGATACTTCTGCCACATCTTAAGGAGGACATTTCTTTGATTTATTTTGTCACCTCCTAAGCTTTATTAAAAGTATGATGCTTCTAAGTTTTCCTGGAGTCTGCTGAAGAGAGAA